ATTATATGTACATTGCTGTAGTCTAATATATATTCAATAATATGTCTGGATAAATACACATGCATCAGTAGACTAGGTTGTTAAGGGGCTGTTTAAGCATTTTGGATATTGACAGTACAGTGGCCGCTGACATTTCCTTATGTATAATAAGTCCAGTTTTATTCAATTGAACAAATATTTAGAAATGAACAACAAAATTATATCTTGTGTTCAAATCAAATAGAATAACCTGGGTGATGTCGACAGCACTGATTAAAGCTATATGGTCATGATTACAGCGCTTGATTAAAACTTGACAAAACACAGAATTTAAGAATAAACTTCATGTGGATTTAAAGAGATATAAGAGTTTTGAGTGTTTTCGACGAGTTACATCAAATTATTCTAAGCAGATTGTATGCAATATTTGAATTAAATCAAACCATTTTAATAATAGTACAACGGTTAAGGTGTTTTGCAAGGTGTTTCATGAACATTTGTGAATAAGGCCAGTGCTTGGATTTTCTATAACTGGATGAGACTATAGTTAATTTTAAGTACATTTATTTTAATGATATATTATGCCAAACGTTGGGCATATTATAACGACAAGGAAACGCTATCACGCAGATCAGCTGATTAAAGAGTGTATAAAAAGTCTGATGGATGTCGTGCGTCAGGAAACACACGCTTGCGCTCTGAAAATCACCTGTCATGTCCATATATTGGAGTACGCCAATGCATATCCCATAGAGATAACTAGTAAATTAAATTTGGAAATAAATGAACCGGAAAACCACATAAACAAAATTATTGTAAGCCATATAAGTATCAAAATGTCTACAATTAAGAAAATAAAGCAAAGGACTGACAGATAGACATATTACAAATGTTGCGATGTGCAATATGTACACTCTTATTCCTTGTGTACTTTAATGGGAACCTTAACAAGGTTAACATACAGTGTGATTGTCTGGTGTTATTCAACACCACAGCAACATGACCACATCTATTTATACCCCGGGCTGGCAGACAACCCACATGACCATTCTGTAGAGAAAACTCAAGTGATTTCCAATAACTAAAGTATCATAATACCAAGATAGAAAATCGAAGTCGTCCTAATATCAAACGTGACTTGACAAATGGATTCCATCAATTTGGTTTAATTATAGTATCTTAGCTGACATATGTTATATATCCGATACATATAATGAGAAAATATGATCTTTTTACTTAGCACTTATATTCCCAGTCGCCATTTCACATTTCACCTCGCATCATAAATCTTGATATTTATCAATATGTCTACTATACGTGCAAGCTGCTGATCATTTTCCTGACGAATTTGAAAATACGATCTGATGTAAAACTACCTACTTCGTCCCTAGATAACAATACATGCCTCTAAAAATATAACGTGGAGTTTGAACCGGAAACAGTATTGTTTTCACACGGTGGATATATACTATTTTTTTTGGTTTAGCATCCGGAAAAATCAGATACCTACTATGCACATTGCAAACTGTGTGTTCTGCGACAAGCGTCCTACAAATCATCAGAATTCCACCGAACTCTTTGTCATAAGATATTCCACAATGTTTTAGCGAACAAGAAAATAATATTACTTACATTAAACTGCATATTGGTATTTAATCAATAATTACAAGCTGCCACTACTATACTGATATGTGTAAAAATAACTCCTGGTGACTAATATAATACAAGTATTGAAAACATTATAGAGTTATTGAATTTTGTAGTTGTAGTACATTTACGAGTAATGTTATTTGAAAAGAGAAGCTATCCGTGAACGTTTAATAAATCTTTACACCCAAGCTAATAATACATAGTCTTTCTAAAACAAAGTATTATAGAGTTGTACGCTAAATATTACCGTCCTCAGACAAAAATATTAAGACATAAACCTTGACTATGCAGTCCATTTTATATAAGTTATGGATTTAAAGTATCAATTTTTGTAATTTTCCAAAAATACCCGTACGACAGAAAACGATATTCATGTCTAAAAACAAAAACTTAGGATTTCTTTTTTGAAAGTGGTTAGTGGAATATCTCAGGACAACTAATCTAATTGCGTCAAACATGGGGATTTGAAACAGATAAAGAAAATAATGTATTTTTCACAAATGAACACAATATCACAGATTGGATCTGCTCCTTTAACTTTAATAAGTATCAAACAAACATGTCGTATCCTGTATTAGTGTAACATTTTAAATCCGATTGCTTTAGTTAGCTTTATTTATTACTTCATATTCTTCATTATAGTTTCAGGGTCAACTCGAATCTAAATTTTTGCTTCTAATTAAGACGAAGCTAAATATATATTTATCAGAAGACTTCTTGGATTCAGCGGATTCAGCCCAGTCTTCTATTTCTGCTTCTAATTTAGACGAAGCTAGGTATGAAATATATATCCATTTGTCAGAAGTCTTCTTGGCTTCAGCCCAGTCTTCTATTTCTGTTTTGTCCGTTCCGGAACGGAACATATTGCCTTCACACTATAGCTGTTTTCTTTGCTTCAGTGGTCTTTAATTGAGAGTTCTAATTTCTTCTCCAGACATGTGGGCTCTACTCAGCCACCAGAATGCGGTTGTTGGAAGTGTGTCCATTCTTTCGCAACCGCCATCATAGGTGGCATTGTTTTTTCACTTGCACACATGGACTTTTAACCGTGGGAGGAAACCGAAAAGCCCGAAGAAAAACTATGAGGTTAAGCAGCGACCCAACTCCACGATGATGGGCCTTATGGTCTAAAGCCTTCTAGATTTCGTGTCATCGTTCACCGTAAACTGATTAGCGATGATGTTTAACTCGGTGGTATTATTCCTATCTTGATAAAGACGAGAGAGCCCTCGTCGAAACGTCGCCAGAAATAAATATTTAAGTAACTTGTATTCCGTACTTTAATTACAGTAAGTATCAGGATTTAATAAACAATCATTCGCTTGTTGTGCATAGAAGAAATAACTTATGAATGTTTAATGAAAAATAGATTGCTTGAGCTAGAGCTAGACAAAAGTTAATATTAGTGTTTTGATTGTACTTCAGATAATCTCTTGGTATTTTTATACTGTACATTAGTGTAATTTGGAGGTGTCGAGGTCGATGGAAAACAGACTCAAATAAACTACTCCGTATATGGATATAGCGAATACAATATTTATTTATACTCCAGTCTTTTCCATTGTATGTGTGCTATTTTATTGGGTGAAGTGAATCATTTCGGCACAGAGCTAAAAGGGTGTCAGATATGACAAGGCCTGTTCTACAGATGCCTCAGGCACCTTTCTTTATTCTCTGGTTGCTTTGACATAGTTCTAACCTTGTTAATATTTCTTCCCAGTGACTACGTAAAAGTCACGTCGAAAAGACCACAGAATCAATTTGAATAGGAATTCTTATAGTTTAAGTATATTATACGTACAACAGATCGGGATTTACTCCTCTGCTGTGTTAGGAGGGTATGGGACATACTGGGAAGAACGTTGTTTTAGAATCCAGTACAAAGCGGAAAGAACAACGTCGTTCTCTCTAGGACAATTCAAAGGTGTCTGACCCATTTCTTGGTCGATTTTCTGGTGGTCAAAGGGAAGTCAGAAAGATATTGAATACTGATCCATTGCAGATCTATTATTTTGTATTCAACTTTAGATTAATCAGACAGAACGTAGAAAGGCCTGGAAACATCATTATAAGCTTTGTCAGTTTACTACTCGGCTTTAAATGAATTGACTGGGGATTAATGTCCCACCTTTCTACACCAACCGGGCTAATGAAAACGAACACACACCATACAGTGTGGTATGAAGGGAAGTTTGCCCGGAGAGCAATTGAACAGCGAGTGAATGGTGTCATTACGTGCACGCCAGTGTGTACACATGGCAAGGGGAACCACACTGGTAACTCTTAAAGGGACAATAACACTCTTGCTGGCTTGGCAGCTCCAGAAAATAAAAAAATAGCCTTATTCTAAGTACTAGATGTGTTAGTGTCCTACCTGTTGTGTAAATTATCCATTAAATCATATTTTACTTGTCCTGAGGGTTCCAAAATATTTTTAAATCCAAGTCACATTTGAAAAGCTTTACGTCAGGCTTTTCAAATCATTTAGTTGAATTTTTCCAATTTTTTAAATTAGGTGTGTTAAGATGAAATTTGTATCATCAATTAATTGGAATATTGTAAAATAGTACAATTTGTTGACCAGAATAAAGATTGGGACATATTATTCAGTTGCAACAAGAGTGGTATTACGCCTTTAAGGGGAACTTTCTCGGCCAACACAGGGATCGAACCCCGGACCTCCTGGTTAGTAAGCCAGCGCCTTGCTCACCGAGCCCCTTCTTACTTAGCACATAGTCCTTATTTTGTTTGCGTATGGTCATTCGAATCAATGCAATAAGGTTAATATTGTTATCAATAGTCAATGTTCTAGAGATATCAGAAACCACTTCACACGTAGCTAATCTCAAGACTATATTATTATATTAGATATAAAGACAAGGTGTCACATCGACTGTCACAGTTACCATTTATAGAGTGATAAGTTCCGCAGTCAACATTAAGACAATGGAATGGGGTAAGTAGGATATATCACTTGATTGAATGACTTATCGTCAATTGTTATAAAAAAAAAAAAAAAAAAAAAACATTTTCAAAGAGCATTGCCATTTTTGCACAATAATTCATGGTGAATTATTGTCTGCTAATCAATTAACTAAACGAACAAATGTGTTTTCGAGCCATCTTAGATTATGTAGAGAACATCCCGATCATGTATAAGAAATGATGCCTGTATACAAAATAACGTCTATAAAGATTTCAAATCAAATAAGGATCAGGAACCAAATACAAACATTGTCAATAACCGTCACATTTCATTAGGCACCCCAAAATCAATATTTGTATTTTAGTGTTGATAGTGTTTTCATGAAGCAAAACATGACATACTTTCAAAACAAATGTGGCGGTCAATGAGTCAAGCATGTTCTTACCTTGTGTATTATTGCATCATCATAAGGAGCGTCTTTATTATCTTCATTAGGTAATAGGGACGTTGGACGACCATTTTGAACAACTCTTAATCCTGCACTTTGAGTTTCTAATCCCGCCATTTTACTAACAAGCAGACGTCAATTTACTGTTGGAATTATCCGAGAGCTGTTAGCACATTATTCCCACGACTATTGATCAGAATGTACTGTACAGATTTTACTCTTCATACACAATGTAATGCTTCTTTATGCGAACCAGGACTGTACAACAGGAGAGAGAATTTGATCATAGAACAGCACACATAACCAAGGTTATCATGCGGACACTTGACTTCAACCAAATAAACCAAGTAATGACTATTGGATTTTGCGGATATCAGAAACACGCACTACAAAACACACCGCATCCCATACAAGAATCGTGCCACAAGTTCCAATACACTTTCTAACCGACGAGTATGGCTATCAATAAATTCGCAATAGGATAATTTATTTGCCAAGAGCAAAAGATCAATGATTTCGATTTACTTGGCTATAATATGATTAACACGCATTCCGCTCGTTTAGGTTTCTTTCCTGTAATAAACATTTAATGACAACATTAAAACTACAGTTCATTTTTGTGTAGATATTCAAATTGATTTTTAAAAAAAACTAGTTTTTCCTACCTCGCCTTTCTGAAATATGATTTGATTATTATCTTAGGACACTTGACATCCTGAAATTGTTTTCAAGAGAAGTTAGTATGCGATTGTTCTGTTAGATAGTCCGAGTGGGAGTAAGGTTATTCTGAACATATTATGACATTTACAGTTTATGCTCAATTCTTTCATTATCTTGGTAGGTGTAGATAGGTGTACAGTTTATGCTCCATTCTTTCATTAGCTCGATAGGTGCAGATAGGAAGGACGTTAAACCCCATCTCATTTAATTTTTATCAATTTCTTTGTTACACACTTGAATGTTCAAATAACGATTTTATTTGGGAATACCTATAGCAAATGACAAAACCGTTAAGATTCATTATGTAAGATTTAGATAAAGAGCTGGCCGTTTTTACCATAATAGTTGAAAAACAGATAATACAAAATGAATAGAAGCAGGGGTCCAAGTCATACAGGTTATGTTTACCGTTTCTCCTTTTTGTCGATAAAATTAATGTCTGTAGATTTTGCATTTTACAATATTCAAATATTACTGTTTGGAGGGCGTGCCTCAATTTAATTTTAAGATTTAAAAAAAAATTGGCCCAAATGATGTCACACCACTTCACCTGCTTCCACACAACAATAGTATACGAGGATCGTGCCGACGCAAAAACATATTGGTTTGACTAAGTCAGTAGTTCCCAACCTTTTGTTGGTTGCGGTTCCATTCCAGAAACCATCATCAGACCGCGACCCCTCGAAGGAAAAGGTCACCTTTTACTATGAAACATCATCATTATTTACAGATCAAAATGTTGTAATGGGAGACTAAAGAAACAAATCGTGTCGTGAGCGTGAGAGCGGAAAGACGATTGACAATGTGGCAAGAGGTGTATAGATTTACGAGGGTTGGCTGAAAAGTTCTAAGCCAATCTGTGAAAGACCTGTACAAGATGAGGAAGGAATTTTCTTCAGCTACCCTTACAAAAATGTCGTTCACAGCTGACATGGCGTCCTAGGAAAATTACGACTGGCTAGTTCCGTTTTTATTTTTTGAAACGGATCTCATCTACGGTTGCAAATTTGGCCAAAAAACAGCATCCGCTTCAAAACTGCACAGATTGTCACGGGACGTCCGAAAACTGACACGTTTTGGCACCCATCTTGCAGACACTTTTGTCATTCCTAAATGCCCACAACACTGGCCGTATGTCGAGTAGTCAGTCGTCGATCAGCCATCACTGTGTCATGTACCCAGGTAATGTTTTGTTAAATGGTTGCCATTGATGAACACGGTGGAAAAGGAAGGTACATCATCCCCTCGCTGGTGATAATATGCTCAGTCCTCTCAAGAGAGATTCCCACATCACTGGCAATATGTCAAGTGGTCGATCAGCCATCACCATGTAATGCACCCGGGTAATATTTTCTTGGTGGCTGTTGATGGTCTTCCAGGACGTAGGTCATCATCAAGGCTCTCTCTGCCAAGCTTAAATTCCACAGCTTACTTCTTTACTGTGGAAAAAGAAGGGGCATTATCCCCTCAAGTGGAGACCATGTCGGCGTGTATTTGTGTTGGGGATAGTCTGTTCTGTTGCAGGTATTTGATGGCTGCCTTATGGCCAGTTTGTTCATTTCTAGTGCTTTCGATAATAACACTACAGTTGCAGTCCTTATGACTATGATTCATTCAATGATTGTACTTCGTGGCAAAAGTTTGTTTCAACCCAATCGATCTATCATTTTCAGGCGTAGAGCTTTTCAGCCAGTTCTCGTATATGATTTTCATGAAAATATAGCATTTATTCAAACGTTTCAAAGTAATCCGCCGCGACTCACCAAAAGTGCTGCAGGAAAGAGTGGTCAGTTTTGTATAAAAATACTAAATTTTGCTGTAATATTTTCACAGAAAGGTTTACGTCTGTCATCTTATATAATGGTTAGAGTATAAGTAGCTGATATTTTACGCGGGTTTTGTCCTGTTGGTCTACTAGAAAAGTATACTCAAACAAAGAACCCAGCTAAATGATTCATATGGATGGATATGACAAGTTAAAACCACATGGATTTGCCATTGTGGCTATATTCATTTTTATCACAGTGTATAGTATTTTTCATTTTCTCTTTTGCTAGAAAATTAAATTTGAAATTTTATGTAGGTTTTCCAGAAGAGTGCTTTGGTTAAAAGTAGGTCGCACAAACCAGGACCCAAGAGTGGTTGCCGGACATGGGTATATTTGAGAAATAAAAGGTTTGTCAAAGTTATGTATTCTGTGCCTAGTTGACATGTCTTTGTTTTATGCTACAAGTGTCTTGGTTTATGCTTTTCCTTTTTAAATATCTCTTTAAGAAAGCAGTGACACTGGTACTCAAATACCTGTCTAACATAGTTCTGAAACATATTGTATACTGCGGTGGCCACGGTTGCTCAGTCGGAACGGCGCTTGCTTACTAACCAACAAGTCCAGGTGTCGACCGTGAACTTTCCTCGTGGGGATTTTCCAACTTGCCCCCGGGCCCGTCGTCAGTCGTATAACTTAGGTCAGAGAACTTGGCAAGAAAAAGCGCCTAGTCGTTCGGAGCACGGTAAAATCCCTCAGAGGGTCTAGCAAGGTAACACGCCTAGTCCAGGTGTCGACCGTGAACTTTCCTCGTGGGGATTTTCCAACTTGCCCCCGGGCCCGTCGTCAGTCGTATAACTTAGGTCAGAGAACTTGGCAAGAAAAAGCGCCTAGTCGTTCGGAGCACGGTAAAATCCCTCAGAGGGTCTAGCAAGGTAACACGCCTAGTCGCTCGTAAAAACCCCGGGTCCCATGAGGACATAAAAAAGAGAAGGCCAGGGCGCCGCTGTTAGGGCAAAATATCCCTCAATGCATGTCGTACATGTCCATCTTCATTAGCCTAGGGTAGGTGCAGAAACGTACGTACATGTAGGTCGTTAAACACCATTTTGTTTCATTTACATTGTATTGTCATTTGTAAAAGTATGTTCATCATACTTACTTTAGTCCCTCATATTAGGTTACCCTTCTTCTCACAGCAGCTTGTACTGTGAAAGGAAGAAAAGAAGGGAATGGGGACTACCAAAGCCCCTTCTCATCTCTAACAGCTGTTGCATAATGTCTATTTGAATTAATATATGCATATGGGTTTTTATCATAGTTCTTTATCTTGTGGGTAAAGAACCATTTAGGTAATTTTTACTGTTTATCATCGATTTTGTGTATTGAAACCGAACTCATTACAGGCGTTCCGCTTGTATATTAAAGCATACCTCATTTCTCTCTACAATTACCATCATTACCGTAATCAATCATTATCATAATCAGCATTGGTAATCATTACCATAATCAACCATCGTCATCATTACTGCCATCACCTTGAGTGGCGACTGTGGTCACTACTTCAACTACACGGTCAATAAAATTACAAAGAAATAAATACTGATCTTTCACGCAAAATACTTTGGGTGTCATTAATATATTTCAGTACCTATATTCACCGAACTTTATCTGTGGGAGGCAGTGCCGGACTGGGCCTAAGCTCATTAAAAAAGTGGGCTTAAGCCTATAAAGAAAAAAGTAAAAAGAGAAAGAAAAAAGAGAAAAGAGAAAGAAAGGAGAGGGGGGGGGAGAAAGAAAGAAGGAAAGAGAGGACAGGACAAAGGACAGGAGAAAGAAAAGATAGGAAAAAATGACTGACAAACAACACAAAAAATAAAGTGCACTAAAAGGAAAGAACTTTATGAGTTTGACCTCATTATACCGAGAACCGTGTTATTTTATCTTTTAACCTCTACTTAGTTCTTCGTAAGTCATTATCGCCGAAATAATCGCCAAAAACTTGCCAGTTTTGAGTTTTTCGCGAAAAATAAAAGGTTTTTGTTTTTGACACTGAAGAGAATTCTCAAATTCATCTAATGATAGTGCTCTTAGGTCATTCTGTTATCTAATTGTATCAGTAAATCAAAAATTTGTCTTCTTTTGCTTTGGTCTGAAATGCTTGGAAAATGGGTTTGCGGTTGTCAATTTTCCGCGCGATCATGACGCGCCTTGTGTGGGCTTTGGTCAGTGACCTGACAGGTGGGCCTTCGGCCCACCAGTCCGGCACTGGTGGGAGGGGAAAATCGGGTTTACGTATTATGCTAAAGGTAACACTCTTCTCTTGTAATCCCCACATTTATAAAAAATGTAAGTTTAGCTCTCCACAAATTTTCTAATTCCATATGGACAATATGTCTAATAACATGAAAAATGCACATTATATTACATCCGCCTAATTAACTGTACTGGGTTCATGGTAGAAATTTGAAATGTAATTTAATTTAATTATTTAAAGTATAATCATAACCAGAATACCGGAAAATCTTAAATATGGCACAGCTTACCAACAAAAAAATGTTAGAAAACTGGTGGGCCCGGAAAGAAGTAAAAAATAGAATATGAACAAAATGACCCAAAACATGCGCTAAGAAATAAGTAGGTGCCATATTAACATATTATTTACAACGAAAGCCCAGAAATAAGATAATATATAACGTGCATGGGACCTCTCTATCACCAAATATATTGTTTGAGCGAACTAAACTTGTTTCTTTTAGTGATGGGGTAACCTGGAGTCAAATAGAGATAATTTAAAGCCGGCTGTAAATAAAACATTATTACCAAGACTAGAACATCACCTGAATTTGTCGATTGGTCACATACTCATTGTAATCTGTTTCTATGGTTATCTGTAGTTGCGTAGCTATGAATTTGCTATGGGAATGCTC